TCCTCTTGAGTGATTCCATTCAAAGCTTTACTTTATGGTATGGTATAATATCAAAATCATCCATTGATTGCCTTGAGGACTTAATTCATTTCCCCCCTTTTTCTTCTCCCCCACACCACGACATTCACTCTCATCAGTAATGTTTCCCTACTCACGGTGGACACATGTTAATATGTCTACCGCTTATGTGGCATGCACACGTTGGTGATGTATTTATTTGAACATATTAACATGACCAACGTGTGCATGCCACATAAGCAGTGTGCATATTAACATGTGTTCACCACTGGTAGGGGAGCATTACTGTCACTTTCATTGTGCAAACAAAAATTATAAAAAAGAAAGGCTCTCTCCCCCTCCTTTTTGTGCTGTAGAAATCTCACAAATTCATCCAGAAATCACCACCATCAAATCCAATCCTCTCGACCCTTTGGTGCTCTCGGCTTTCAGCCCACGCTCATTGCACGCCGTCGCACAGCCAGACCATGCGCACAAGGTTGGAACAAGTCGGCTGTCTGATAGGCGAAAACGAATCAACTGGTTTATTTCTGATCTGAGTAGGCTTGCCCTGGCCTCGTCTCCAAAATTCTCAGTAGCCTTTGATTGGAGTACCTTTGTCGCCGAGAAGTTTCAACCCCGCACGCCTATGTTCATCCCAATCGTCGAGTTCGTGCTTTCGAGCCACTCGAGGCTTTAGAAAATCCGATCCGACCTTCAATCATTTTGTAGATTCCAAAAGTCTAGTATTTTGGCTTGATCCCCCTTGGTTTGTTGGATCTTAATTTTAATTGATAAGATATATATTTCCTTGGTGTTCTAATTTTAAGAATTTAATATCTATTAAATTAATTGAAGAAATTAGTAGATGTTGAACTCTTGCAATTTTTGGTAAAATATGTGGAACCTGAAACTCATTGGTACCCCTTTTTGATTGGTGAGGGGCGCCTGCGGTGACAGCACCTACGGTGCCCCCTCCCCCACCCTTGGATCATATTAAGTAACATGATCCAAGGGTGGGGGAGGGGACACCGTAGGTGCTGTTTAAAAATGCACCGTAGGTGCCCCTCACTCCTTTTTGATGAGATATTAAGCTTCGAATTTGTTGGTGATCATTGAGATTGTTTGAAGCCCTTTTGTGACTATCTCCTTCAAAAAATTTTATAAAACATTCGAGATGTGACATGAACCCCAAACTTGTTCTTATAGTCCCTTATTGAGTGTTTTAGTACCTGTTAAAATTTTGTTCAAATGCGTAACTCTAAGAACTTCAGTCGAGAAAAGGATGCGTTGGTGGACAAGGCTGCAACTGGTCTGCTGGCAGGCGTCCCAGTGAGCGGGCAGTGGATGTCGCACGCATGCATAGCGGTGGCGCGCTGCGCTGCAAAGGCCCGTAGTGATGCGCTGACACCCGCAGCAACTAGGCGTGCCCCAGTCGTCACCCACAGCGTCGCTCACGGTCTCGTCGAGGCGCTCGCAACACCCGTAGCCGCTCGTCAGTGCTTCTAGTGACGTCCGCATTCGACGCGGCCACCCGCATCACACCAGACACGCCCCTGCGCTCAATACCGACCACATGTGCACCCCTGCGCCCTACCACCATGCCCTGCAGACCATGTGTGCACCCATGCGCCCAGTGTTGTGCCTGCACCCTTCAGCGTGTAGCCCGCGTCTGTGCGCCCAATCAACGGTCCTAGCAGCGTGCCCAAGCCACTAGTAACTAGCCTACGGTCAGCTAGCGCATGTGCGTGTCTAGGCCGTGCCAGCGAGCCCAACCCGAGTCGTTACTGGTCCCCGCGAGCTGAAACCATTATTCCTAAGTCGTTTGACTAATTTTTTAGTCGTTGTCTTTGTTTTTTGTGTCGAACCCAATTTTTCTTTCTTAAAATTATTTTCAAGTTTTATCCTTAAATCTGAGAGTTCCAAATTCCACAAAATTTCACTAACTCCTTAATCAATAAAGTTTCATTAAGTAGGAATTTTTTATGAAATTCTGAGTTATCGAGATAAATTTTTTTGAGAAATTATCTTGATTAATTGTAGGTTCCTGAGGATTCGAGCCATAATACCTATCGTGTTTTACTTCGTGCTTTTGTCTGTCTCGTCTGATCATATGGGTGGTGATAAACTTTATTGTGCATTTATTCTTTATAATCGCTAGGCTTTATAATTAGTGTATGTATGTGAACCATGTAATCTATCAATGTCTGCGTTCGACCTTCGATATAGTGTCTCCGTCGTTGTGTGAGGTTTTGACCTTTGATAGTGACTAATGAAAGGCGATGTCCTATTTGCCTAATGAAAAGTCGTGGTGTTCTGTGTGGTGACATTCTTTGACGTGTCCTCCCATTGTCGTGTGTGGTTTCGACCTTCATCGGTTTAAGATGTGTACACACGAGTAGTATATGATTTATGGAGATGTGATAGTTGTGATAATGATTTATGTTCATGATGCAATTATATTGTCCATTATTATACTTAATATATGTGCATGTTAATTCCCACGATGAGCTTGTTGTTTACTCACCTCCATTATTTCTATCTTTTCAGGTTGAGCTGGTAGTCATGGCAAATGACAAACGAGTAGGGTCATTTTAATTGTTTATGAACTGCTTTCGCTTGATATGTTTTTTTCAAAACTTTTTCGTGACTGGCTATTCTTGGAAACATTGAATTTGTTGAATTTTAATGCGAGATTATTATGATTTGTGTATTTTCTCGTATGTGGATTTATGTTTTGTTTGGGCACTGTGTTCCCCACGTCTTGAGATGATGCTAAGCAGAGTAATGAATGAATTTTTTGAGTAGCGCCCGTTAAAATTTTTTAGTCAAAAAATGATTTTCCGAAAAACTTACTATGATATTTGGGAAAGTTCAAGATTTTTCCTTTAAAAAAATGCATAAGCAACCAATTTATATGTATATTAAGTGTTTTCACCAAACAATAATATATATAAATAATTTATTAATTGCACAATAATATTAATTGCAATAAACGTTATTATTTTTTTCTAAAACTGTAACGCAATAAAAAAAAATACATGCACAATATGTTGCACAATATATAATGTTAGATTAAATGCACATTATTTTATGTATGAATGGGCACCATCAAATTTTATCATTTCCTTGTGCAATATGTAATAAGGTTTATGATCGACATAGCAATTGACAAACCTATTAGTATGGTTAGTATAATTTTAGTTAGTTTATCTTAACTAATGAATTATATCAGTACACTTTTTGTGTATTTAACTGGACCCCGGAGAAGTTTAGTTTATACTAACCCAGTACATAAATTAGACCTCGTGATATGCTCGTACTCTTACGTCGTTTGATAATAACAGGCATGTGTATTGAGTTTTTATTTATTTGATTCATCAAAGGGTGAGACTAACTCCACTAAGTCAATATTCAGTGAGTTGGGAAATATTATTATTTAGATGGTGATGTTGGTTATATTCAGTCATCGTATACTGATGTGTCAAACTGATGATGTCTCCAAAACAAGCTAAAAAATGTTTATTATCGTAAACCCTGTAGGTGGATTATGATCCAGCATAATAATAAGGAGTGAATGGTACAAGTTTTGAGCAAGAAGTTAAGTAATTATGTTGTTAGTAATTAAATTAATTAACGTACGTTATATCTTTGACATGGTGAGATAAATTGAGTATAGTGAAGCCTATGTATGGCGTGGGGAAAATGAAGTGCAATTATAAACAATTAGTGGAATTATTTATTATTAATAACCCAAAAAATAAGGTTGACCACAACCCAAGTATTCCATGACCCGTTGGTAGTCGTAATCCTAACCTCGTTAACATCCCTAGTGTAGCCTATTAATAAACCATGTGGAGAACTCATTCGCAAGCATGAGATATTACAATAACACGTGACTACAAATATGGGGTTGGGAACAAGAGTTTGAGAGAATAAGAGAATAAGGAAAAGGAGTTCTAGACATACAAGATCGGGAGAATGTGGTCCATACGACGCCCAACCAAGATTAAAAGAATACATTAGAGACATTGAGGTCTTGGGCTGATCGACGCACATTGCTCACGATGCACGACCAACAAACAACTCACGGCAAGGAACGAGACGGACCACACACAGAGCGACGACGGGCGACGCGAGGCGCGATCCACGCGAGCAGCAAACGACGAGATGCAACGACGAGACGAGACAATACGCACAAGATGAGGCGGGCGAGGAGCTTGAAGAAAAGCTTAGAACTGTTCGCGGCCGTATTAGTCTGTACATAATCGACATTAACAAATAAGTAAGATTAAAATCTAATTGTTAGATCCACTGCGCGTAGAATTGTTTTCTTAGATTCTCAATCGATTCAAAGTACGATCAGCAAGTTCTTCGCCGTACCCAACACTTAATCCCAATTGATTAAAAAAAAACTATAACACATATCATCCAAAAAGATAAAATTGGACATAAAGCAAACAAATAAACCACATAGGTGGGAACGAGAAACCAAACATGCTAGTTTTGGTATGAACTTGCCATCATTGATGAGTGGTTGAATCGGCCAAACTGGTTGAATCGGCCCCCGACCATGGGCTTAAAATAAACTGGCCAAATTGTAAAACATCTCCGTCAGCGCAGTTATTTAAATCTTGAACGCGGTACTAATGTCCAAAACTGTGACTCGATTCCGCATGTCAAACTCATCATATATTCCTTCCTTTTCCCATCTTCTTTATAATATAATGCCACAAAATAAAACCCAATAAAAAATCACATCCTGTTTCCCACACCGCGTGGCCTTTTCAAAGTCCACAGTCAAAATCCTTCATCCCAATATACTCTATATAGAGAGAGACTCCCACTCGTGAATTCTTAATACACAAGTAACAAGTTTTCTCCCTCCTAAATTCTCAAGCAATATACTCTACTCCTCTTGCTTCCATTCCAAAACACACACAAATTAATACATACACAAAACCCCTCTCTTCTCTCTCTCTCTCTCTCAAAATAATTCCAAAATGAAGGGTTCACTTTATTCTGGAAGCAGGCCTTCAACCCCATCCCATTCCTCACATCAGAATTCTGTCTCTCCACCACAGGAGATGGTTATGGAGGATGTCGTGGACCAGGCAGAATCCGTAATCAAGAGATGGGATGTCGACCATCACGAATTCTCACCCGTCTTTTCCGGCAACAGAAAGGAGGCCGCTCTCCTTCTCGAGGCGGTGGCCGGCCTCCAGAGCGCCATGCACTACTACGTTAACCTCACACCCAACTCTCACAAACTCATCACAGCCCAAAAGCTAATGAGGATCGCCATCAAGAGACTTGAGAAGGAGTTTTACGTCATTTTATCTTCCAACAGGAAGAATCTCGACTCCGAATCCGTCTCCACCCACTCATCCACTTCTACGCTTTCTGACCTTTTTGAGGATGACATTTCCAACTCGGTCGAGCAAACTTCGGATATGGCCATGGCGGATCTCAAGAGCATTGCCAACTGTATGATTGGTTCCGGATACGGTAAAGAATGCGTCCGCATTTACACACTAATACGGAGATCGATAGTCGATGAGACGCTATACTATTTGGGGGTCGACAAATTGAGCCACTCTAAGATACAGAAAATGGACTGGGACCTTCTCGAAACCAAAATTAAGTCCTGGCTGCACGCCCTGCGGGTCGCCGTCAAAACTCTCTTCCACGGTGAGAGGATCCTCTGCGACGTCGTTTTCTCTTGCTCGGAGAGAATTTCCGAGTCGACCTTCGCAGCCATCTCCACAGACGCCGCCGTGACTCTTTTCGGCTTCGCCACGAATTTATAGAGGAGCAAGAAGGTTCTGTCGCCGGAGAAGATCTTCCGGGCGCTGGATATGTATGAGGCGATCTCGGATCTGTGGCAGGAGATCGAGTCGGTCTTCTCGCACGAGTCGCTGGCGGCGGTCAGACTGGAGGCGGCGGGTGCACTGGGGAAGATCGGGGAGGCGGTTAGGGTTATGCTGGCCCAATTCGAGGCGGCGATCAAGAAGGACTCCTCGAAAGCGCCGTCCAGCGGCGGCGTCCACCCGCTCGCCCGCTACGTGATGAATTTCCTAGTTTTCATCGCCGATTACAGCGGGGCGGTTTCCGACATAATCGGCGAATTTCCGGTGAGTGCACGGACGCCTTTGCCGGAAGCGTATTTCTCTAGCCCCATCTCCGGCAGCGGAGATGATCCGTCGGCGGCGGAGATCACTGCTAGGCTGGCGTGGCTCGTCCTCGTCCTCCTGTGCAAGCTCGACGCCAAGGCGGTGGACTACAACGACGTGGCACTGTCCTATTTGTTTCTGGCCAACAACCTGAACTACGTCGTTTCGAAGATCCGCAACTCCAATCTGGGGCTCCTAATTGGGATCGAGTGGATCTTGAAGAACCGGTCAAAGGTGAACCAGTACTTGGCCAAATACGAGAGGATGGGTTGGAGTGAAGTGATCTCCTCACTGCCTGACGATCCAACGGCTGAGATTAGTCCGCAGGAGGCCAAGGAACGGTTTAGACGGTTCAACCAGGGTTTTGAGAAAGCATACAAGAAGCAGATATCATGGGTCATACCCGACCCGAAAGTACGGGACGAGGTCAAAATATCCCTTGCCAAGAAAATTGTCCCCAGCTATCGGGCCTTGTACCGGAAACATCGAGAATATTACAGCGTGGAGGTTGGCGTAGAGGCAATTGTCAGATATGCCCCCGAGGATTTGGACAATTACTTGTCGGACTTATTTTTCGCTGATGCTGGTGGGACCGGTGGAAGTACGACGCCGTCATATGGGAGTTCGAAATTATCTTCGCATGGTCGTTGATTTGACTCATTGGAGTAATTTGTAGAGCTGCCTTTTTTTTTTTTCCTAAAAACGTGGGTGAAAATAGAAGATGCAAATGACATTTTGAGTTCTTTTTATTGATGATAAATTACTTAAAATAAATTAATTGTGTAAAGATTTTACGAAGTGAATGAAAATTTAAAAATTATCTCAAAATTATTTTAGGTTAAATGAGAAATTATAATTTTAAGTATTATATGTAGAAATTAATTAGTTTAGGTTGTTGAAAATTATTGGCTGTCGGGTGGGGATTGTCGATTTTGTGCGAGTTACGAACAACTACGAATTAAACTCTATGCGCAGCGGAACTAGTAGTGGGGGTTCAACGCGTAGCATTTAATATTTTGCCGACTCTGAGACGTTTCTGATTTCAGCTGTTGGAGATCGTCTGAAACTTATATTGCATTGGATTTTCGGACTAGGTCTCACCATCACCTTGGGCTTCGCATCATAGTCACTAGTTGTTCGAGCTCGTCGGAGGGTCGTCGGAGTGCTAGTTGTCGTCGGTGGT